CGTGTTCTTCTGTCTAATCTCTTTTCACAGCTTCCCTGGGTATCATTTTCATGTTCACTTTGTCCAAGGCAATCTTTAGTTATCTGATCAGGAACGAAGAATGCATAAGCCGGGAGCTTTACTAATGACAAGATAGAAAGAAGTGATCGAAAGTTCAACTACGGACTTACCTGTATCACTTTCTGATGTTTGCTTGTTGACTTTGCCCTTGGAGTCCTGACTAATGTGATCTCCTTCAGCGGTGCATGAACTGTTTTCTCCAAAGTTGCTTCCTTAAGCATCCCTCTTTCCTAAAAAGAACCCAAAACGTATCAGATAAAGCATCAACGCTATAACTGCTAATCAAAGAAACTGGTCACAACAGGTTTCACATACATCGGTTCTAAACCTAAAAGGCTTCGGATTTGTAGGCTTTGGTTTCCTATACTTCACCCCTTTAGCATTGCTGGCAACAGATGTGGAGTTTTCTTTCTGAATTTTATCTGCTTGATTGACCTGCATCATTGTTCAAGTGTTAACAGGAATTAAAAGCCATTAGGGAGAATTGAATGAACATAAACACTTAGAAGATATGATATTCTCATTTCTCGTATATCTTAAAGGGGTAATAGAAAAGCAACCTCTTGTGAGTTTTTTGAAGCATCATGCTTGCCCAAATTTATCCTCTTGGAATGATCATTGATATTCAGTTCTCTGCATCAATTGACAAAATTTCATTACAATGGAGTTCTAAGAAAAAATATATTTGTAGAAAAATGAAAAGTAAACCACACCTGTTATCACCAGAGGCAGTATTATTTTCTTTATCATCACTCTCCAAGACCTCATTCTCATTCGCTTTGCTGTCAGAGGCCAAAGCATTTTCTTTATCATCATCGTCGTCCGCATGTTCAAGGGTGTTCCTCTTCTCTGATCTTAACTTTGTTTTCTCTTGATGACCGTTTCCATCATTGGCGCTTTCCTTATTGTAATTCTCTTCCGAATCCCTCTCTTCAGAACTCAACAATGAGGTAGTATCACCTTTCGATGTCTCGGATAGGATTTCAACTTGATTCTTACCATTCAGTCTACCACTCTTACAAGTGCCTGATATGGAGAACCCTTCCAGTGTACCTTTCCTTGATTTTTCATCAATTTCCATGTCACTGGAATCATTGTCATCAACCTCTTCACGAGGCACAGGATCACAACGCTGTTGTTTCAAGTCTTTTTCCATGTTCTTTCTTTTTATGGATTTAGCTTCCTGGCCCTTGCAATTATTAGAATGAAAAGAATTGAAAACCCGGCTTTTGACTTCTCGCCCTCTAAATTGTTTTCTTGAAGTATCTAAAGGCAATGGCTTGTTACACTCCAAAACATGTTTCTTCCCACTAGCAATCTCAAGTTTCTTCATGGCTGAACAAATTTTTCCCATAGGAGTACCCCTCTCCGTTGAAGCCTTGGTTCTCACAGGCTTCTTCGGAGAGTGAAAGACCAGAGCTTTGGCTACCACCTTATTCTTTGGCACCACAACATTCTTTGGTTTGGGGTTCCTAACACTTCGAAATGTATCTGGATTTGAGACGGGCTTCCGATTCCTTGGAGTAGTGAGAGCCTTGGAGCAGACGGTTGTTTTGCCTTAGCATTTGGTGTTGCACAGATCTTATGAAGAGGTTTTCTGGATTTATCTTCGGCATTGACCATCTTACGAGAGAAGGAAGAAATGAGGGCCAGCCTTGATACTCTAGGCTTGGAAGATTTTGCGGGAGCTGTCAGTGGACATTTCAAACTAGTACATAGAAAACAAAAGGAGAATCGTATTGTTAGAAGCCCAATCACAGAAGTAGGAAAAGGAATTGGAATTTGCTCCATTTAGAGCTTTGCTTTTGCATGTATACCTTGGTGCTTTTCTAAGTTTCACATTAGGACTTCTTGCTGCCATAACCTGCAAAACTCCAATACTTTCATATCTCAATAAAGTGAACTAATGTGATCCCACTTTAAACGAAAACCAGAACTTATAAACTCACCCGAAGAACAAAGTTCTTGTAAATCGCTTCTGAGTCTAGTTCTTCTTCATGCTTCTGATCGCATCCTACAAAACAAACCCCAATATACTCAAAATTCATTACCACAACAAAAAAGGGGTTTTTTATACCAAAGCCAACTGGATCAACCACTCAAAGTATTAAACTCAAATTAATGATCTTTAAGTTGATTTTGTTCATTTTCTAAAAACCCATCACCTAATTTAATACTTTATCCCCTCAATTTTCTCAGCATCCAAACAGAGTGCTCCACTCAAATTAATCATCTTTGAGTTGATTTTGTTCATTTCCTTAAAACCCATCACCTAATTTATTAATTTATCCCTTCAATTTTCCCAGCAACCAAACAGAGAGCTCCAAATCAAACAAACCAGAGCAGAAATCAAATTCAAAACAGAACAGAAGCTAAAATCCACACTTAACCAGTCAATCAATAACACGAAGTTCATCTTCAAGCTTAAAAATTTAAAAAAATCTTCAATATTTGAAAGCGAAAGAGCTTTTTCTGATTACTGAAAATAAAGGGAAGAAATTAAACTTGTGGGTTACTGGGTTAGAGTGAAACGAACCGACTCGCATGCAGAACCAGTAACGGTCGTCGGGCCGGTACGGGTCGGGTTCGGTGAAATCAACGAACTTGGGCGCCTCAATCTTCTCGTAGAACTCGTCCCCACCTTCGTGGACGCCGTCGATCTGCACGCTCTGAGTTTCTTCTTCCATTTCCGCGAAGCGAGGGAGAGAGCGAGAGAGGAGCGTACGGTTGCGTGAGCGGCAGCGAAAGCGAGATTGGTCGGTGAAGAGTGAAAGAGTCGTTAAGTTTTAAATTTGGCTGTCTCTCTGTAAGTAGCCGTTGGGGAAAGATTCTGATTTTCGGACAAGAAGGTCACTGAAACGGTCTCTCAGGGGTGGTGTCGTCATTTGGTCTTCCTGTCGCCAAATATCGGATTTTCTAACGGGTTTGCCGGTTTTCACACAACTGTGTGTGAGGCCCAAGCCCACTTCTTTACGGTTAGACTATTGTATCCATTTTTTTTTTTCAAAAGGTAACTGTACTCTTTAATTCGAACAATGATTTTGTAATGCAATTGCATCTACCCATAACCAAAAAGCATAACCTTACCTTGTATTATTGTGTAACTTTAGACTAAATTGCAATGATTAAAGTATAACCTCAACATTGTCAAACTTATCTTGAGAATACTAAGTACTGATTTGGTACTAAAATGTTTTTATAAAAAGTGGGTAAAAAAAAAAGCTGAACTAAAAAATGTGTTTGGTAAACTCTTAAAAACAGTTTATTTTCACAGTTTTGGATGAAAAAAACCTGAAAACGTGAAGCAGCAAAAATGAGCTTATTCTCACAACACAGTAGAAATAAATTTTTTTTTCAAAGCACAGGAATACCAAACCAGCCCTAATATTTACAAGTTCGAACGATGAAATGTAATTTTATGACGTGCACTAATTAAGAGTTCATATCAACTAATTATCTGTTAAGACTAGTTTGGAAAAGACGGGATCTTGTATGTGTTTATGAGTAGTTGAACTACTCCCATATTGCCAATTAGGTTTATGGTGAAATCTCAACTTCTTTTATGATATCAAAGTAGGTTGTCACATGTGTAAAGCCAACGACTACACATGCTTTACGTCAATTTGTGTACACGTGTTAAACTTGAAAATTGCCACACATGAGGGGGCCAACGTATTGAGAGTATGAATGAAGGTAACTTGCATGTGCTTATAAATAATTGAACTATTCACTATATTGTCATTTAGTTTTATAGTTAGACTCAGGGGCGGATGCATTAAGGGGCAAGGAGGGTCAGCTGACCCTCCAAACTCTTGTGAATTTCCATAGATAACTTGGTTGCTGCCCTTTTGAGGGTTGAAATTTCCCTTCATACATTTGACAAAATCGGCAATTTATCGGCCAAAACACAATCCAAAGTCTGAAATTTGGAAAAGATTTCCCTTGTGTTTCACTGAGATCGCCGTCAATTATTAGGTTGCAATCTTGCAGAGTATGAGGCCTTGCGTGATTTGAAGAGGACAACCTGAAACCCTGTTTTTCTATTTTGTGAACGACGTCGTCTTGTATTCTTTTGATACATGGCATAATCTGTTGAGTCTAGAATCCTATCAGCACAATGAGTGCAATTACTCTATTTTTTATGTAGAAAGAATAATAATCAATAATAATATTCATCCTTTTTGTAATTATATTTCAACAAATAATATACACTATGTTTTTTTAGTTGCTTGACTTTATGTTTTATAGCTCCATTTCAATTTATGTTGATAAATTGATGAAAGTTTTTATCTAGATATTGAATGAGTTAAGTTTTGTGTGAGAAGTTGGTTTGTATGAGTTTATAATCATGTGTATTTGTTAATTACATTGGTTTTGGTTATACTAGTAGCTACTGTTTCAGCCTTCGATGGATAAAGCATTTTTCGCTATGAATATTTTGAAAAGTCCATTGCGATATTGAATGGAAGATCAATAGTTAAGTAATAGCATAGTGGTTTATATCGAAAGCAATGTTTTTTCTTTCATTGATAATGAGCATAATTGTAACTTAGATGGAAACATAGTTAGGAAAACTAATAAAAAGGGTTTGAAAACTTTGAGTTTTAATGATAAAGACAAAATAAAGGGTAAAGTGAATAGTACCAGGATTGACTTTTTAGTGTAAACATGTGGTTTTTCGTTAAAGTGAACAGTACCGGGAGCTTTTCATTAAAGTTCCCTAATTTTTAAGGTTATATGTCTAAGAAATATTTGTGAATTTTTACATGTGATCCTCCGAATATTTTTTCCTGGATCCGCCACTGGTTGGACTTCATCTTTCTTCAGTATCAACACAAGTACACAAATTTTGTGCCAATTTCGAGTTGCATTACGGTATCTTGTTAAAATTTATCACCTTCTTCAGTGCGACAAATGTTTTGTGAGAGGCTTTCAAGACTTTAAAAAGCAACGTGATCGAAAATTGCCAACCTTAACAGTATTGAAATGAATCTATACTTGGTGGAGTTCATGTAGGACTTGACCACATTTAACTCTTCTATGATTAAATTCACCCCAGGAAATGGGAGAACTTGAGAAAAAGTTTCGTTCATAAAATTAACAAAAATTATCCCAACTGCCCCATATCTGTAAGCCCCAGGAATTCCAGTGTTCTTCTCACATACAACTATCTTTCCCTTAACTAAATCAGGGTCCAGGTAACCTTCCCAACATATACTAAAATGCAACAAGAAGTCAGTACTATAGTTTCATTTTTATTCCTTTATATTTTATGCAGTAAAAGTGAAACGAGGACAAGAATTAGCTAGCTAGCATTTGAGAGCAATTTGTTCTTGAAGCATTTTTTCCATATATGAGAGGAAAATTTGTTCCATTTGATGTGGACGTGTTTGTAGAGTGCCCCCCCTGTTTGTGATAAGAACTTAAAAAGTATTGAAATGAAAACAATCTGAGCCACACTATATACAAGTATTCATAAAATGTTTTTATTTTGTTGAAAAAGGAAGTGGATGAGACATACGACTAGTTTCTTTCCGTTTGCAAGAATAGTGCTGTCAATAATCCGACGATCTGTGGTACTAGCTGCAACTGTGAATATCCATGGTGCTACACTTGTCACATGACCAACCTTATAACTATTAAATATGGTTCCGGCAGACTGTAAAGTTAGTATCCCTTTCTTCATGGCATGAAAGGCACCAATTGCAATCGGGTTAATATAAAAATGAGGCTCAGAACGAAAAAATCCATTAAGTGAAATTGAAATGATGTCAACTTCATCAACAATTGCATCGTCAAAAGCAGCCAAGATACCGTCTGAACTACACCCGACATCAAGATCACAGACTTTATATGTTGCGATTCTCACAGCAGGTACACCTCCTCTTCCAGTACCATTTACTAGTCCGTAAAAGCTTACATCCTTTACAGGACTCCTGGCTACAATTGATGCACAGTGAGTTCCATGACCCCGGAAATCCCTTGTAGTGTCTGTTAAGTAATATCGAGCACCAACGATCTTTTTGCAAAACAAACATTTCTTAATGTTGACTAAATGTTGCAAAGTAGAAAGGCAAAACCATTACAAAAGTAGTTTAATTATGAAATTTTGAAATGAAGAAACTCAACCAAAAGTTTTAATTCGTATAATTGATAACTTTATGCATGTAAATATTGAGAGACATACTTGTTGCAAGTGAAATTTTTGCCGCCTTCACAAACACATTTCCACTTCTTAGGAGGAGGACCAAAACCTTCATCTTTAAAGCTCTTAGCTTCAGGCCAAATTCCACTGTCCATCACACCAACAATGATATCACTTTCAGTTGTGGCATTTCGACCGACTTTCACACCAACAATGATATCACTTTCAGTTGCAGCATATAAAGCAGATTCAGAACTCACAATCATCAAATTTGTTGATGCACAAAATCAGTGAGGACTTTGGTACAACAGAAAGTGTTAAGTTTGTGACCTTCGCTAGATTGCTTCGGTCACCGGTGTGGATAAGTATGTAAATGGATAGGGACAGGGAAGCAAACACAAGCTGTAAGTGGTTCACCCAGATTGGCTACGTCCACGGAGTAGATGAGTTCTCATTAATTGTGAAGGGTTTACACAAGTACATAGGTTCAAGCTCTCCTTTAGTGAGTACTAGTGAATGATTTAGTACAAATGACATTAGGAAATATTGTGGGAGAATGATCTCCTTTTATAGAAGAGAGTTTCTAGCTTTGTTTTGACATTGACACGTGTCGTGTTGTGATTGGCTTCTGATGTTGACACGTGTCGCGTTATGATTGGCTTCTGATGTCAACACGTGTCGCACTGTGATTGGCTTCCTGGTTAGAGGGAAACTCTTCTGGTTCCTTGACGGTATAACGTTGACCGGTGCTTAGTAGTTTCGAGATTGGTCAAGTATGGTACAAACAGTGCTCCCCTAAGTTCCCGAGTGAGGGAAGCTCCTCGGTTGGGGACTTGCAAGATCCAAGTCGCTGAGTAATCACGAAACTTCTAAGTACCGAAGTGTGGTATCATTTTCACTTGCCTTATCTGTCTCGTAAGTAGATGTGGCATCTTCTATGGAAGTACTTTTCCTCCATCCAGGGGTGGTATCTTTAACCAGTGGAGATGCACAAGGTAATGTATCAATTTCACTTGAAGCTTACTTGTAGTTTCAGGCTTGGTCAAACGCGATACAAACCATGTAGTAGGAGTCCCCCAAGTCGCCGAGCTAAGAGATCTGCCAAAAGAGGTGACAGACAAGGTAAGCAATCAGAGCTCCCAGTAATTAGTCCCAGATTAGAAGTTTGATTTCGAGTTTAGGCTGATTGTTCTCATTCTCCCTATCTTGCAGGCAGCATGAAGGATAAAGAGAAGAAAAATGAGAAGAGATGATATGAGATACTTTTGCTTTTGAAGAAGTAACTTTCCACAGGCTTATTCTTGAACTAGGTTGGAGGGTTTTCTGGTTTCCTCCAGAGTATAAGGCCGACTCAAGAATTTAAGGGTCAAAACAAGTCCATCAAATCAAGAGTGCGTTCGACCTTGATGATATGGGATACTTTTGCTGTTGACGAAGTAGTAGATGAATCGGCACATGTTCTGTTGCCCTTATCCCCACATGCTTCCTTGTATCCTTCTCACTTGCCCTATCTGTTCCTCAGGCAGATGTGGTATCTTTTATGGAAGCATAAGATGTTGAAGATGAGTACTCGAGAGCAATGCCAGGTAAGTAATCAGGCAAGGGGTTCTAGGCAGTCAGTTCCTGACTGGAAGCTTGATTCCAAGTGCTGACTGATTGCTCTCTTTCTCATTGTCTTGTAGGTAAGAACAAGGGTAAAGGAAAAGACAGGGAAAAAGTATGATATGGGATACTCTTGCTTTTGACCCTGATGATATGAAATACTCTTGCTCTGGTGTGGCTGGTTTGCATATGTATTATTTAAGGGGGAAGAAAGCTGAGTATTTCGAGAGGCTTCGTTGGGAGTGCCCTCTCAGATATGAGGAAGGGTTGAGCATTTTTGCAGGTCTGCCTGTTCGTGGAGGATGGAGGTCGACATATATAGGAGTCTCCCTAACAACAAGTAGTAATGCTATTCATTTACCCTTCTTGGTCATAGCAATGTAGTAGGAGCTGCAAACTTCACGTGTTTTAACTTTGTCAGAGCACTTTGAAAAAATGGTCTATGGTATCTTGAAAGCTGATGTTGCGTGTGAAGATTGTAGACAAGCTTTATCGAAGGAAATTTGGCTCTCAAAGTTCGGAGAGTGGTGCCTCTTCGGTTTTCGAACAAGCAATCCTGTTGGGGATATGGCTCTCGAGATTCAGAAAACGGTGCCTCTTCGATTTTTGAGAATGCAATCTTGTTAGGAGTCTGGCTCTTGAGATTCAGAGAGCGGTGCCTCTTCGATTTTTGAGAAAGTAATCCTATTAGGAGTCTGGCTCTCGAGATTCGGAAGGCGGTGCTTCTTTGATTTTTGAGCAAGTAATCCTGTTGGAAGTCTGACTCTCAAGATTCGGAGAGCGGTGCCTCTTCGATTTTTGAGCAAGCAATCTTGTTGGGAGTGTTTTCTCGAATGTGAGTAAAGGTTGGGCATTTTTTCTAGTCTGCCTTGCCACAGAGCACGGAGGGTGACACACATAGGGACTTTCCAGTTATCAAGCAATGGTGCTATTCCTTGACCCTTGTGGGTAATAGTAGGGTAGCTAGGCCTTCAAAATTTATGTGTCTAAACTTTGTCAGAGATCTTTAGCAAAGTTATCTGTGGTACCCGAGAAGCTAATGTTGTGTGTGGATAGTGGTGCCTTTTCGAAATCTGAAGAGTGGTGCTTCTTTGATTTTTGAACCAACGGCCCTGTTGCCCTTTCTTTTATAAGGGAACCAATTGTGTGCAAGAAGTACATTCAGAGAGTTATTGCTTATAGGAATTTTCCCCTTATTTTTGAACTTCAGAGATTTATTGGACCTCATTTCTCCTTCCTTATTTCTAAAAATGTCTGGCCTATCCGACCGTCGTTTTGACTTGAACTTTGGTGAAGAGGTAGCTATGTCTCCTCAAGACAACATATGGCGCCTATCCTTCTTATCCCCTACTAGTCCTCTTACCGTTGGGGAATCTATGATGAAGAATGATATGACCGTTGCGGTGGTGGCCAAGAACCTTCTCACTCCCAAATATAACAGACTATTTTCCAAACGGTCTGATGAGTTGCCTGTTAAGGATTCTTTGGTTTTCAGTGTTCAGTGTGCAGATTCTGTGTCTACTATGGCCCAACGCCTATTTGCTCGAACCCGCCAAGTTGAATCATTAGCAGCTGAAGTGATAAGTCTCAAATAGGATATTAGAGGGCTCAAGTATGAGAATAAACAGTTGCACAGACTCGCACATGACTATGCTACAAACATGAAGAATAAGCTTGACCAGCTGCAGGAATCTGATGGTCAGATTTTACTTGATCATCAGAGGTTTGTGGGTTTGTTCTAAAGGCATTTATTGCCTTCGTCTTCTGGGGTTGTATCGCGGAATGAAGCTCCAAATAATCAACCTCTGATGCCTCCTCCTTCTGGGGTTCTGTCCAGTACTGAGGCTCTAAATGATCACCCTCCGGTGCCTTCTCTTTCTAGGGCTCTGCTGACTGCTGAGACTTCTCTTGAGCAACTTTTGTGAAGGCTCCCTCTTGTTTGTTTATTTTGACTCATGTATATGTACATATTTGTGACTTATCGGAGATATCAATAAATAAGCTTTGCTTCATTTCAACGTATTGTGTTTAAATACACCAAAGCCTTCTTCACTAAGTTCTTTGAATTTTTTCTTTTGTTGAAGCTTGTATGTTGAAGTTTTGTGAGTGAAGCATGTATGTTGAGGTAGTGCTCCCTTAATTTCCTGAGTGAGAAAAATTTCTCGGTTGGAGACTTGAATAATCCAAGTCACTAAGTGGTCGTGAGACTTCCGAGTATTAAGGTGCAGTAGCATATGGTAAGAGTCCCCCAAGTCTCCGGTCGAAGGAGTTGACGAATGAGGTGTCTTACTAGTAGCCAAGTTTCTAAAGTAACAAAAATTCACCATTTTCCTTTCTAAGTGGTAGCCCAAAACTCCTCCTTCATATATATTTGTTATGAAAGTTGTAAGGCTCAAAGAAGATGAGGCCTAGGCAATTTTTTTTTTTTTTGAATTTTTGAATTTTTGAATTTCCGAATTTTCGAATTTTCAAAAATATATATATATTTAACCTTTGGTGTTGAAGATTTGTAGGTGAAGCTTTGAGGTTGAAGCTTTGTTAGGTACCATGAATTGATTTTGCTTCACTATCTTGGTCAAGAGTGTGTGAAGCTTTTGTAGGTGAAGCTTTTGTGTTGAAGCTTTTGTGGGTCAAGTTTTTGTGGGTCAAGCTTTTGTGAGTGAAGTTTTTGTTAGTGAAGCTTTTGTAGGTGAAGTTTTTGTGGGTCAAGCTTTTGTGGTGGGTGAAGCTTTTGTAGGTGAAGCTTTTGTGGGTGAAGCTTTGTAGGTGAAATTTTGGAGTTGAAGCTTTTGTTGGGTACTATGAATTGATTTTGCTTCACACTATCTTGATCAAGATAGTGTGAAGCTTTTGAGAATTTGTAGTTGTCCTCCATTGATGAAGCTTTGTTGAATTTCCCAATTTCCTTTTTTTTTTTTGGGAAAACTAGAAATTTGTTGAATTTCCCAATTTTTTTTCTTTTTTTTAGGAAAATTAGAAATTTGAAAATGTAGAAGAGACAACATATACAAATTTTGCTTCCACACTGTTGAGCAAGAGATTGTGATGCAAGCCACACCTTGTAGTAGTCGAAGGTTTGGATGAACCATATAAATTGAATTTGCTTCGAATAATCTTGATCAAGAGTGTGTGAAGCTTTCTACGAGTTGTAGTTACCCTTCATTGATGAAGCTTTTGTTGGCACTATAAATTGGCTTTGCTTCACACTGTCTTGATCAAGAGTGTGTGAAGCTTTTGAGAATTGTGGTTGAACTCCTTTGATGAATCTCTTGTTGGCACCATAAATTGGTTTTGCTTCACACTGTCTTGATCAAGAGTGTGAAGCTTTTGAGAATTGTGGTTGCCCTCCATTGATGAAGCTCTTGTTGGCACCATAAATTGGTTTTGCTTCACACTGTCTTGATCAAGAGTGTGTGAAGCTTTTGATAATTGTGGTTGAACTCCTTTGATGAAGCTCTTGTTGGCACCATAAATTGGTTTTGCTTCACACTGTCTTGATCAAGAGTGTGTGAAGCTTTTGATAATTTTTGTTTAACTCCTTTGATGAAGTTCTTGTTGGCATCATAAATTGATAATTGTGGTTGAACTCCTTTGATGAAGCTCTTATTGTCACCATAAATTGGTTTTGCTTCACACTGTCTTGATCAAGAGTGTGTGAAGCTTT